GGTGAGCAGGATGCGCCGGGGGGGAGAGAGTGTGCATTCCACTCCAACAATCTATCTCTGGGATTTCCATGCGGAAGCGGATGCAAGGAAATCTCAGCTTGGTTTGGATACTCTTAAGCATGGTGATGGTTTCCGCATGTGTCAGACACCTGGCTGCACCCCCCCCCCGACCACCAACAAAAAAGGACAGAATTCCTATAGCTGGTCTTGTGTAAGTGCTTTCAAAAAAAGAATTGGAAAAGATAAAAATAGTACAGAGAAGTAAGCGCTAGATACCAGCCGAGGAAAGGAAAACTGTGCAAGCTACATGTGTTTCATTCTTAATATTTATTTAAATGTGTCCTCATTGCAGTTTCAGGTTAATTTAACATTTAAAATTTTGCAATAGTTTTATAAACCACTTACATTTATCTGGTGGCTTTCAAATAGAATAATGTTTTGGAGCAATTTATAGGGATGGGAGAGGACACCAGGCTGAGATGGCTGCAGGTTTGAAGAGGTGAGACTTAAACACTGGTAGAGAGGAAGGTGAGAGCGAGTGGCAGAGGGAAGCATCTCCAGAGGGTTGGGGTGAGGGGAACCAAAGGCTTAGCATCCAATGGCGGAGCCGAAAGAGCAGGGGATGTGCAGCAAACTGAGTTACCTGAACAGACCCAGATATTAGGGTTATTATTTATATATTATATATATTTGAAATGTACTTGAAAAGGAAAAAATTACAAGGATATGGGGAAAGAGCGGGGCAGTGGGACTGATTGGATAGCTCTTCCAAAGAGCCAGCACAGGCACGATGGGCGAAATGGCCTCCTTCTGTGCTGTAATACTCTATGATTCTGTGATATATATAAGTAATAAAATAAGTACATATATATGTACATATTTTCAGCATTACTGCTCATTCACAAATTTAAAGGGTGGTTTTGTCCATTAACCCTAGTAACTAACAATCAAACGTCATCATCTATACTATGTCGGGGCCATGAACTCATCATCTTAACACATAATTTTCCCACAGTTATACTCATTAAACTCGCTTTTGGGACATGGAGCATAATTTCAATTTTATAAAAAAAGAGAACATCTGCTTTCTATTTACAGAACCAAATCTCTATAAATTTGTAAAACTAACACGAACCAGAACTGAATTGGAGAAGTGTCTGCAACAGTTGCAAAATATTTTTTTTTACATCCTCAGCAGATTTTAGAATGAAACGAAGGAAAAAAGGCTCCAGTGAATGATAAATGCAGTGCACTTACACAATTTTGAACAGAGCAGATGCTCAAAATTCCAACTAATCTCAGACCATTTTGTCCTAGAATTTAAGATTATAATAATCCATGCATTTCGTTTACCACCTTATGTCGAAATGTTTCATAACGCTTTTGTTTTTTTTCTGTAAAGTGTAGTGACAGTGTATTTGGGGGAGAGGTTAGCAGCCAATTTAAGCACAGCAATGCCCCACTAGCAGGAGGCGAATGACCAATCTGTCTGAGGATTATCTGTAGAAAACTCACTTCTCTTTTTGAACAGTGTTTTAATGCTGAGATGCATTACCCACTGGGAAGCTCGCAGGGAGTTCCTTGAACCTAATCCATCCATTGAGGGCTCAAACCCACGCTTGTCAGATGTCGAAAGACCAACTAGTGACTTTCTTCCTTAGGGGAGAGGGAAAGGAAGGTAAGCGGGGTCTCCTTGGAGCTGAACTGGCTCCAAGGTGACATGCCTGGCAATGGAATGGTTTAATCGAGTCAGCCCTCTGTGGTGGTCTCAGTATTCAGATTCCTAAGCCTGGCGGGTCCGCTGTACTCCAGGGCACTGCTGTTGTTCAAAGCCCTCCACAGCCTTGCTCCTTCCTACCGTTTCGTCAAAATATACGGTCAATTCACTTTACAGCATATTCTGTGAAGCACTTTGAGACGTCTGGAAGACGTGAAAAGGTGCCATATCAAATGCAAGGATTATTATTATTATTACCTCTGCGACCTGCTAACCCCATAGCGACCTGTCTGCTCCCTTTGCTCAGCAAGCTCCGCGTCCCTGGCATGGCCCGCCCCACCATCAGCGGTTGGGTCTTCAGCCCTCTCCCTCCACCCTTCGGAACTCCATCCTACATTCCCTTCGCCTCGCTCCCGCCCTTGCCTCCTTCAAGTCACATCTTAAGACCCTCCCTTTCGACTGCACTTTGGTCACCTTCCTACATTGCCTGCCCTCCACCCTCCCTGATCCCAAGCTGCTCAGGTCCAAATCCCTGACTGTCCAGCGCCTTGGGATGTTCTCTCGACATGAAAGACGCTTTACAAATGTAATTTGTTATTGTTAATGACAGCACAGCCAGCCTGACTAATCAGCAGGACCTGGAAGGGCAGACCAGTCACTGGGGCAGGGAGTCATCCTGTTAACCTTGCAAGCCAAAGCCCTAACTGGTGGAGTGATACTAGCTGGACAAGCAGCAGGAAAGCTGGCCAGACAACGATATCAATGGTAAGCTATGCATTTTTAGCTGGTTAGACTCCAGCAGTTACCCCAGCGCACACGCTAGAGTTCCCAAGCCTTGGCTCTTGCCAACCTGCGACAAACATTTGGCAAATTCTTATATACAGCCTTAATTTTAAAGCTGGATTCCTATTTAACATTTAAGATGTTTGTTTTCTAAGAAGTGTGGAGGACTGCGTTATGAATGAATTGGACAATTCGTCAAATTCTGCGGGCTCTGAAATCCAATTTAAAAGAACAATAATAATTCTGCAGCAACCTCCTCACCTTGTAGAAGTCTCAAAGCACTTCACAACATTTCCTGCAAATGGTGTGACGGTGTGAATTTTGTGGGAAACAGCAATGTCCCACAGAGAGCCATGGAGCGAGTGACCAATTTTATTTTAGAGGACAGTTGGCCAGAGCGATACAAAATAGTGCAAATCTAGACACGGGTGAAATTTCTCCCTGTTGTTGGCTGAGGCTGAGCAAAACTTCAGACCTTTATGTCAAGTTTGACAATATCTGCTCTTGTGCTGAGTTTGTAGATTGATCCAATGTGAAAAGAAAACTGCCAGTGGTTGCAAGAGAGCAGAGAGTGTGTGTATGTGGGAAACTGATGATGTGTTCTCTCCTTCCCACAGGACAATGTGTGTGTGTGAGAGAGAGAGAGAAAGAGTGGAGGAGAGCAAGACAGAGGGAGAGAGAGAAAATGGGAGAGAGAGAGATGGAAAGAGAGTTAGGGAGATGGGGGTGGGGTGGGATGGGGGAGAAAGAAAGAGTGGTGGAGAGAGAGAGAGAAAAGAGACAGAGTGAAGGAGAGAGAGGAAGAGTGGGGGGAGAAAGAGTGGAGAAGAGAAAGAGAAATTGGGGGGAGAAAAAGAGGAAGAGTGGGAGAAAGTGGGGGTCAGAAAGAGTGGGAGAGTGAAAGAGAGAGAGAGTGAAGGAGGGAGAGTGGGGTGGGGGGAAGAAAGAGTGGAGAAGAGAAAGAGAGAGAGAAAGGGAGGAGAGAGAAAGAGTGGAGGAGAGAAATAGAGAGATGGGGGAGAAAGAGGAGAAAGTGGGGGAGAGAAAGAGTGGAGAAGAGAAAGAGAGAGATGGGGGGTGGGGGGAGAAGAGAGGAGAGAGAAAGTGGGGGAGAGAAAGAGAGAAAGTGGAGAAGAGAAAGAGAAATGGGGGAGAAAAAGGAGAACGTGGAGGAAAGAGTGGGAGAGAGAGATGGGGGGAGAGAAGAGGAGAGAGAAAGTGGGGGAGAGAAAGAGAGAAAAAGTGGAGAAGAGAAATAGAGAGGTGGGGGAGAGAGTGGGGGAGAGAAAGAGTGGAGGAGAGAAAGAGAGAGATGGGGGTTGGGGGAGAGAAGAGAAAGTGGGGGAGAGAAATAGAGAGATGGGGGAGAAAGTAGGGGAGAGAAAGAGTGGGAGAGAGAGAGATGGGGGAAGAGAAGAGAGGAGAGAAAAAGTGGGGGAGAGAAAGAGAGAGAAAGTGGGGGAGAGAAAGAGTGGGAGAGAGAGAGATGGGGGAAGAGAAGAGAGGAGAGAAAAAGTGGGGGAGAGAAAGAGAGAGAAAGTGGGGGAGAGAAAGAGAGAAAGTGGGGGAGAGAAAGAGAGAAAGTGGGGGAGAGAGAGAGGAGGTTCGCAAGAACTGCTGCAACTGCCCCCCCACCAGCTGTGTCTGTCCCCCCCCCCACGCACCCTCTCTCTGAGGAAAATAATACTCCACATAAATGCATAAATGTGTTATTGTACATAAAACACAGAAACTCAACCCAAAGCGGCACTGGAGACCAGTGGGCGGGCGGGAGAGTGACGGACACTGCGGCTGAGCCAATGGGAGCCCGGGATGAGGGGCGACCCTCCAATCAGGGCTGAGCGGAGGCGGGACCTCGGGGGCAGAGGGGCAGCTGGAGTCAGTCACTGCTGCACTGTGTCTGAGAGCACAACACAGAGAGGGAGAGAGAGAGGGGGACAGAGAGAGGGAGAGAGAGAAGGGGACAGAGAGAGGGAGAGAGGGAGAGAGAGAGGGGGACAGAGAGAGGGAGAGAGAGAAGGGGACAGAGAGAGGGAGAGAGGGAGAGAGAGAAGGGGACAGAGAGAGGGAGAGAGGGAGAGAGAGAGGGGGACAGAGAGAGGGAGAGAAGGGGACAGAGGGAGGGAGAGAGAGAAGGGGACAGAGAGAGGGACAGAGAGAAGGGGACAGAGAGAGGGAGAGAGAGAGAGAAGGGGACAGAGAGAGGGAGAGAACAGAGAGAGGGAGAGAAGGGGACAGAGAGAGGGAGAGAACAGAGAGAGGGAGAGAAGGGGACAGAGGGAGGGAGAGAACAGAGAGAGGGAGAGAAGGGGACAGAGGGAGGGAGGGAGAGAAGGGAACAGAGAGAGGGAGAGAAGGGAACAGAGAGAGGGAGAGAGAAGGGGACAGAGAGAGGGAGAGAAGGGGACAGAGAGAGAAGGAAAGAGAGAGGGAGAGAGAGAGATAGAATAGAGAGAGAGAGAGCAGAGAGACAGAAGAGAGCAGAGAGAGAGAAATAAAGAGAGAGAGAGAGAAGGGAACACAGAGAGAGAGAGAGAGAAGAGGAGAGTTTGCACTGTGTGAAGCAGTAGTTCAGTGACTGACACTATCACCATTTTCCCGCTGACGATCCCGGGATCAGCGTTGGGGGGAAACCCGGGAGTGGGAAGGACTGAGATTCCCTCCGCAAACAGCCCATCCCCTCCCCCTCAGCCCCGGAGGCTCGGGTAAGGAGCACAGGGGGGGGGGGGGGGAGAGGGGGGGAGGGAGGGATGGAAGGGGTGGAGAGAAGGATGGAGGGAGGGATGGAGGGGGTGGAGAGAAGGATGGAGGGGGGGAAAGAGAAGGATGGAGGGGGGGGAAGAGAAGGATGGAGGGAGGGATGGAGGGGGGAGAGAAGGATGGAGGGAGGGATGGAGGGTGGAGAGAAGGATGGAGGGAGGGATGGAGGGGGGAGAGAAGGATGGAGGGAGGGATGGAGGGAGTGAGAGAGGATGGAGGGAGGGATGGAGGGGAGGAGGGGGAGGGATGGAGGGGAGAGAGGATGGAGGGAGGGATGGAGGGGAGAGAAGGATGGAGGGAGGGGGGAGGGAGGAGCGGGGAGGGAGGGATGGAGGGGGGAGAGAGAAGGATGGAGGGAGGGAGGGATGGGGGGGAAGAGAAGGATGGAGGAGGGGAGGGGGGGGGATGGAGGGAGGGATGGAGGGGGGTCTTTGCTTTGCTGTGCAGTGACTGTGTGTATCTATGTGCTGTCACTCACTGCAGAGTGTGAGGTCCACAGTGATCACCGCTGTGCTCTGTACCTGTGGAGGTTGGCATCAGCCCAGAGGCTGTGCTGTGCTGTGCAGTGCTGTGCAGTGCAGAGGTTTAGCCTCACTGATGGGGGTGGGTTGGAGCTGTTGTGGGGCTCTGTGGGGCTTTGCCCCCTCCTTGTGCTCTCTTCCTCCCTGTGTCAGTCTGGCTCAGTTGGTAACACTCTTGAAGGGTTCAAGCCCCAGCGTTGGGACTCTCCAGTGCGGCACTGGGGGGGGAGAGCCTCCTCTGCGTTGTCGAGAGAATGTGGTCCTCCTGATGAGGTGTGAGACCCCATTTGCCTGAACAGCACACGCACCTGTTCGAAAAGAGAAGGGGGTTTCTCCAACTGTCCTGTCCAGCAAAACCCACACCCCTCCCCGGTCGGTCATCAGTTCCTGGCTGTTTGGGGCACTGTTGCTGTGCGCAAATTAGCTGCTGAGTTTGCCTACGAAATACAGTCACTACACCTTTATAGTAAATCCTTCTTTTGCTTTGAAGTGTCCTCTCGCTGTGAAAGGCCGTACTGTAAATCAGATGCCAGGATTATTATTAATTAATTTAATGTGGATTCAGAAAAGACTGTTTGTATCTGAAACACGTTGCGCTCTTTAACATTTATCATTGAAATATACTTCTTTACTTAAACAAAGGATCGCATTTATTCGTAAGCCCAAATTCTACAAATTCATTAAACTTAACCCGGGCAGTTTAAAAGCACTTGGGCCTCATCAACAAGTTTTCTAGGTGGAGCAGGATAGCCCAGATTATTTGTACGTTCCAAACATACTTTTGTTTCCAAATATTTCTGAGGATGCATTTTTGCTCTGTGATGCAAAAGAAATAAACAGTAAAACACAATCGACAGCTTTGTATAACTTCAAAATATTTATTGGAATATTTATTGCCCCCGGAAATAGTTACTCTGAGCATGGTAGACCTGGAGTGGTGTTGTGTATTGCTATAATAATAATAATTCTTGCATTTGATGTAGCTCCTTATCACGTCATTGAGACATCTCAAAGCGCTTCACAGAATATACTGTAAAGTGGAGTGACTGTGTGTTTTGTGGGCGAAACACAGTTGTTTAATGATGTCAAATGTTTAACCACCACATCAAGATGCTGTTCAGGCAATACTATAGGAGTGAAGTTGGATAGAACATCAAAAGAAAACAGTCACAGTACTGTATTAAATATTGCTTTGATTCTTAAGTGTGCCATGTAATCAAATGCCCCGATTACACCTTTATGCACCTGTGCTAACCTCATTTTCTAAAAAAAACTAGTTTTGTTAAGTACAGTATTTGAATCTCAATTATTCCAATCAACCTGCACAGCAGAATTCTGTATCGGGTGAATGTTTTGTTGCAGGTTAATGTTTTCAAGGATAGTACACATAAAAGATAATCAGCTAAAATCTCTTTGAGAACGTTGCAGATTAATGCATGTTGTATCACTCACCTTTAGGACTACATCAGCTACTATGCCCTTATTCCTCTATCTCTGACCTGGCCCCCTGCCGTATCTTTTTTAAAATCGCACCTAAAATCTTCCCTCTTTGAATGCATTATGGTCACCTCCTTCTTCACTCAGTGTCTGATTCCATCTGAGACATTATCTCATGTGAAAGGTGCTGTATGAGTACATGTTAACATACAATCTGGACTGTGAGCTCAAAGTCCAAACATGGGGTTTGAACCTACAGCCTTCTTGACTCAAAGGCAAAAGTGTTACCGACTGACAGCTAAAGGAGCTGACACCTTATCTGAATCGTGTGGATTAATTTCATGAATCTAAAGTGATTTTTGATATTTTGCTGATGTGATAAGGCTGGATATGGAATGCAAGGATTATTATTTAACACTGATCATGTTAAATAAGTGAATGATATGATCCTTGGTGGTAATGTGCCAAAGACCTAAACTTTTGAAAAGGCACAAACCCATCAGTAGAAATAGAAACAAAATACTTACTGATGAACAGTGTGTGAAACACTGACCTATTTATCTATCTCTCTCTGAAGCTGTGGGTTTCCTGTATTTCTGGTTTTGTACCATACCATCAGTGTTATCTTGGTAATGTGTTTACCTTTATTTACGTCCATATTTGAATCGGTGTTGATGTTCTACTTATTTAAGAGTGACAAATTTCTCGGGTTCCAAACCCTATTTACCCGGGAGAGTTAGCGTTGACTCGGTAGTGTGTGAATATTGAAGGTGCTGAAAGGTCAAGCTGAACAAGTTTGAAAGACATTGCTTTGATTGTAAGCCTTGCTCCTAAGACAACAATATCAACAGCAAAAAATTACATTTGTATAGTGCCTTTCACGTCCCAGGATGCTGAGACCAGCTCAGGTTTGAGAGGATGCAAATCATTATCTTGACTTCAAAGGTAATTGTGTGTTTTTTTACTTTTTCGTTTCACATTTCACCCACAAAATACAGGCAATTCACTTTACCCTATATTCTGTGAAACGCTTTGAAATGTCTCAACGATGTGATAAGGTGCCATATCACATCCAAGGATTGTTATCATTATAACTTTAAAATAAAACTTATATTTTTCCCATACAAGAGCCGTAATGGTCAATGGAACCACCCTTGAGTTCTAACGGGAGTCAATTAACCATTACCTTTAATCACTAGCTCACAGTAAAATGAGCCGCTTGTCACTCGGAGGAGTTCTCAGACGATGTTTCACAACATCACAAACAGAAAAGCGTTCTTAAAAGAACTGACAGGAAATCAGCTTCAAAATTAAGGTTTACATTTAAGAAGCATTGCATAAATAGGATAACTCTAGCTCCAGGTGGAATTTCTATCCCCTCCGGTCTAATCCCACTCTCCTGCATAATCTCTGTACTCTTTAATCTTCCTCTTTTGCAAGTGCCTGTTTAATTCTTTTTTCAAAGAATTTAAGGGCTCTGTTTGAACAAGAGTTTGTGGCAGAGAATAGGGCTCTCCAACCTACCTCTCTGCGTATTTTTTTTTTCGAAGCACTCCTCCCAATTCCTTTTTGTGATTTTCTTAAATATATGCGCGTTCTCGTTACTGATTCGCTGCGAATGAGTTTTTAAAGAAATCCTTTAACGTCATTAGTAACGGGAAACGGTTCACACAGGACAAGGGTCCCGAGCTGCGGAAAGTATAAACGCTGGTACACGCGGAAGGAATGTTGTGGTTCAAATCCTTTGTAGCACTTGTCTCCTTGATGCCACGGGAAGTTATCCCTCGGTTCGAAAAAGCAGTTGATTGTTTTTACCATTGATGTTCGCGCCCTTTGATCTGAGCACTTAGTCTGTGACTTTGTGCCTGCAGATTCTGATCCACGTTAGCATTTTTGACGGCCAGCAGTCTGGGTACATCTGCTACACGGACAGGGACTCTGCAGTGATATTCCCAATTCACCAGTCGAGTGCTCACCGAAGATATCTCACTCTAATCTCATTTTGGTGTAATGATACAATCCGGTTGTGCAGTGAAAGCTTTGTATAAGGAATGGTGCTAATACTTGCTTTTTAAAAAATAATTTGGTCACTCACTCAATCCACGACTGTTTGTGGGACACTGCTGTGTGCAATTGGCTGCCGCGTTTGGCACACAAAATACGTAGTCGATTCACTTTACAGTATATTCTGTGAAGTGTTTTGAGACGCCTCAACGATGTGATAGGGTGCTGTATGAAATGCAAGGATTATTATTATTACTATTATTTGAAGAGCTTATTCAGAGCAGTTGTCCTGATCTCCTTACTGGCACATTATTCCGATTAGAACACTATTGCAGCAGTAAATGCAGGTTGGCTGGTTCTGTGCACTCGTGGGTGATTATTATTATTATTATTATTATCTTTTCATAGAATCATGGAATCGTACAGCACAAAAAGAGGCCATTTGGCCCATCGAGTCTGTGCCGGCTCTTTGAAAAGAGCAATGTAATGTCAATCCCACTCCCCAGCCCTTTCCCCATAACCCTGCAAACCCGTCCTCCTCAAATACCCATCCACCGCATTTTTAAAAGTTATTATCGAATCGGCCTCGACCACCCTTTCAGGCAATGCGTTCCAGATTCGAACAACTCGCTGCGTGAAAAAATATCTTCTCACCTCCCCTCTGCTTCTTTTAGAGACTATTTTAAATCTGTGACCTCGAGTCACCGACACACCCACCAGTGGAAACAGTTTTTCCCTTTCTAACCTATCAAATCCCCTCATGATTTTGAAGACCTCTATTAGGTCTCCTCGTAACCTTCTCTGCTCCAGTGAGAATAATCCCGGCCTCTCCAGCCTTTCCTCATAATCAAGGTCCCTCATTCCTGGTACCATCCTCGTAAATCTCCTCTGTACCCTTTCCAACGCCTTAACATCCTTCCTAGAGTGTGGTGCCCAGAACTGGGCGCAGTATTCTAACTGAGGCCTAACCAGTGTTTTATATA